ATTTTGATAATAACAAGAACTGCGAGATCGTCCCTATCTTCAATTGAAAGAAATGAATACGAATAGAGTTTTGTTTGACAGAAAATATTTCTAGTGATACTTAAATTTCGTATATTATTTAATTAAGTGTGCCTTTCTGTATTGGGGACTATAGAAGATCGATATTTTTGAAATAGAAGATTTGACTTTTTATATAGAAGAACTTATGTGTTCGTGTTTGCGGTGCATTGCTTTTAGGTGTTGTAAACTCGTACGAATAATTAAAGATTTGAGGAAAAAACAAGTGTTTTGTTGCGCCGATTATTTTTTGCAGGCTTTTCTCTAGATTTAATTCATATTGCTGGGTTACTTTATCCTAAATTGCATCTGAGGCTGGCAATAAGAATGTTGTACAGTTTCTTCGAGAGACCTGTGACTAATGATGAATTTTAAAGATCTCATAATATAAACTCGATGCCACGGCTTTCTCGTGATATATTCAGTAATGATAACTTCTTACAAAAAAGATTCTGAGTGGTCACCTCTTTCATTTCTTCTCTATTCATAGAAAGGGGAGTGTTTATAAACTTAAATAGAAAATATGACTGATTCAGTTTTTTTGGGTTGAATTTCACAAGCAATCTATTTACTCATTTACTATTTTTGATCGGACTTTAGAGTTGCAGCATCAATAGTCAAATTGTAAAGGTTAATAAATTTTTTTAGGTATTTTCTGCAAAAAATCTGATATATGAATTATGTCATAGAGAACATGGTTTATATAGATGAGAAAAGCGAAAGGACCTCCAACAAAACCTTGCAATACTTCAGGCCAAGCCATTTGTATTGAGTCGCGTGAAAATATAATCGCGAAACCAAAAAAGTAGCACACCATTTATTCCAGTAGAGTCAAGCTAAAATGTGAAACCTCTGTACAAACAAAATTAAATGCTTCGGATATATCACAACAAACACACTTGCCACCATCAGGGGCGTTACTAAATATGTTTTATATAGAAACAATTTGGTTAGTTATTGAATCAGATTTAAAAAGTAAAATGGGTTATTAGCAACAAAGAAGATGTTTATGTATTCGTATTGTTTCTTAAGTTTTAATTAAGTCTGCTACTAAATAGGATGCCATTTTCATTTTACATTTTGATTGATTTTGTTTTTATTTTAACTTTTCTATTGTTCTGAACATGTCTTTGTGAGATCAAATTTTGATGGTCGTCTTAAAGTTATGAATTCAGTAACATGTACTACTCAAATGAAGTTTTCCATGGCTACAATAAATCTGAAGAATAAAAAACAACAACATCAACAAAAAAGCCAAGAAAAACCAAATAAACAAACAAACACAAAAATAGCACAGATATTTAGGTCAATGTAACTTTGCTTAAGTTGGTGTTGGTTTGCGTTGCACGTTGCACGAGCATGCTCATTAAAATAGAGAAACAATATTTTAAATTTATCCTTTCATAGCGACATAGAATGATTAAACGTTTTACAAATATGTTTTTGAATAAGTAATTATAATGACTTCAGCATATCTACGTATTTTTCACAATTCAGGATCGACCGTCAAAGAGACAAGTTCTTCTACATCACCAAAGACCTCAACTCAGAAACCAGGTAAGACATATTTTCACCTTTCAAGGATGTAATTTCAATTACATATACTGTGGACATCAATGTTTCTAAAACTGAATTACTCAAGGGGTCGATATATAAGAACATTATGGTTAGATGACATTTTTTAAAGCTAAAATATGCTCTATCAAATGAATAAGGTATTTAATGCCCATAGGGATTTTTATTCTTAATGTAATTGTTGACTTATTGTTGTAAAGTTTTAATACCATGATGATAATAGAATTTATGAAGTTGGGTAATATGTTTTTATCTTAATTTTGTCAATATCTGAAGCTTGATATAGACATTGTAATAAAGTATCGCGGGACCAAAAAGTTATGCGTTTTAACATGAATATACTTTAATGTGACATTATGCTCATTAATTTGATTGTCGAGTAATGCGTAAAAATATTTACATTTCATAAGACTGACTATTATAATGATTATTGGGCAAACACTAACCACAAAAACGGTAAGGATAAAATATAAAACTATATATAAAACTATATATATATATATATATATCACCTTTCAAGGATGTAATTTCAATTACATATACTGTGGACATCAATGTTTCTAAAACTGAATTACTCAAGGGGTCGATATATAAGAACATTATGGTTAGATGACATTTTCTAAATATATATATAACTAAAAAGTATGTCCAACTCGTTTTATCAATTGAACATAATACATACATTCTGAAGGATATTTATAGAATTTTCAACTAGTCACTTATGTTATTGATTAGATTTTTGTGAAGCAGAATATGAAATTGAAAACAATTATGGCAAATGTAACGTTTTCTGGACTATGTACATTTCTTTTTACACTAAGATGGACATAGTTTACTTAAATGGGGGAGTGTGGTGAAATAAATGGAAAGGTGTCATATGTTTTATTTTATAGCAGATAATGTTTTGTACATGAGTAAAATACAAATGTAATTTAGTTTAAGGGCGATTATGCCTTACGTAGTGGGAAGAAATCAAAATGCTTTGGTAAACAAGCATGTTTAAGTTAACTTATCGGTTTTCTTATTTTAGTCATTCAATATTTACGTTCACGAAACATTTTTATCTCATAATCGTTTTAAATATGTGAACACTATATTCATAAAATCTGTGAAGAGTGATTTATTTTTCATCTCATTCAAAATATATGTATTGCACGTTAATCATTGAAATTGGTTGGTAAGCATAAATAAAAGTCCCCTATCGACAAAAACTAACGAATTATATCGGTTTAAACAAAGAACATTTATTTTCATACAATAAAGTTACAAACATAATATGCATACATAACAATCTTGTCTTGTCTCATGGGAATAAAACCTGAAACGAGAAATGACATAAGAAAAGTTATTCGAAAAGTAAAATGATGCAATTTATTTTATGATCTACGTGAATACAATATTGGTATACTTTTATGCATTTGTGAAACTATTGATATCACATCATTTTTATTAATTTCGTCAGCTGATATCTTAAATGAAGTGAAATAAATGTGTAAAGATAAACATCAGCTACGCGTGGACACTTAATTAAAAGTGATAACGGATAAATAATAAATGATCAACCTATAGCAAGTACTAACTGCGGACAAATGACGATAAAGGATATCATATGGCTAAACTATGCGTACCAGACAGTTTTGATTGACACAAAATGTTGACAAATATTAGTCTTATGATAAAAAAACCCTATTTTCCATGTCATATGACATTTCAATATCCTAAATAGAACAACTAAAGAAAAATAAACATGGCACTGTTACAGTTACCAATATGTCAGTCGGACTGATTCCGGAAAATTGTCTAAGAGATTTACTAAACGATATAAGGTCGGGTGTACTGTGGACTTTTTTGCTAATGATACAACACTATACTCGAATGAACAAATTAGGGGAAAAGAAATCATATAGCTCAAGCAACACCGTTTCAAATGTACTGAAAACTCTCAGCATTGGCTTTGGGCTGTCATAACAACTAAATCGAAACGATAAACACCCTGCAAAACATCATGCAAATGATAGCAGTTCTAGTCCACTGACACTTATATAAGAAAACGAGGAACACATTGTGTAAGGTATATAATTACAGTAAATATCTTTAAAATCACCTACCATAATAAAATATCAGACTCCTAACACAGAACTCCCTGTCATTTGTATCATATCAACCTGTTTGATTTACAAATCTTATCGTTCCAGAGTTTTGGGCACCAAACAACACAAAAATGATAAACAAAAGTCCAATCAGAGCTAGGACTGAAATATAAAAACAAAGTTCATATGTCTGTCGATTATCAATAATGTATTTTTACACGCATGTTGCGTCTGACTACATAAGTCGGTCCTGTACGTATTTGTTGTTACAATGAAAGAGTGCCAACGTACTACTGATTATCGTATATGCCACACGATATATATCTTAGTCACGCATATCCAGTTCTTTCTTAAAGATTTTTTGACAGAACGGGACTGATATTTTTTTTCGAGAATTTAAAAACATCTAATATAGGTCTGCACTAATAACATGTGTGCACAAATTTAGATCATTCCATTTATCCAGAATAATAATTTTTATTATACAGAATTTACTAAAATTAAAACGCGTCTAAACGCTTTCAATTCAAATTGGGCTACGAATCACAATAAAGAATAATTTTCAATTTAATTCTGTGTATATCATTCTTATCTTCCAAATTTTGTTCTGTTAAGATTCCATTGTTATGCTTTTAATTTTCTTTTGGACCTGAGTGAATCTTCTTTAAGAATAGTATACCAAAAGGGAATATAGTTGATTTATTCCAACCCCAAACACTGCTACACAGGAAAAAGTTATACCAAGCGATTAATTTATACTCTTCCTCAGATTAAAAAGAATCAAGTACTGGCAATAATTATGGATCTACAGGGCTACTCGAATAGACAAATATATTTTTGATAAATCAAAAGAGCAAGTAATCAATTTGGTAAAGATATATTAACGCTAAAAGTCCCTTGAATATTGAGTGTCAAAACGTCACAAAAATGTGCTACAAGAAATAATTTCCGTCCATCTTTACCGTAAAATACTTACATCCCCCGTTGAGAGAAGAATCACCACCTTCGGCACCGTAGTATGGGTATGCTGAATAGTAGTTACATAACACAGACTGTAGTCCTAGCAGACACAGCAGGCTAATTACTGACACCACAGATAACTTCATTGTGACGTCCTGGCACAATATCAAACAATATAGTGCCAATGATATTATAGAAGAAAATGATTAATGATATAAAACTAAAAAACAAAATTGTATTTATAATTTCAATATGGAATCCACACTCATGGAAAAGAAAATACACATTTTCGTACTAAAACAATCGACAAATTAATTCAATTAACTATATAGATATGAAATACCGTTTAACAAATTATATATAATAATCCGAATAAATTTTCAAAAGAGTTAATGCAAATATTCAAAAGATTCAAAAGACTGATAAAAATATTACAGTCTGAAGGATGCACATACCTCTGTTCTATGTGACCTGCGCGCCGCAAGTGAACTGAACTATCAAACTATCACAACATATAGCCATTTGCGGAAGCTGACTATACCTGAATACCTTTAGGTTAGTTAAATCCATGAATTTAATTATAATGATAACCTTTCGGCTTGGTTTTATTATTGCCATATAAAGTAAATAGTGATGATACACAGGCATTTATATTATATGCGATCATATTTCAAACCATGTATATGTAATGCAGTAAAAGGTTAAATCTCAAAGATCGCCAAATTCGACCAAAACTAAACATGATGCAGACTCGGTTTGATCCTGAGGTATATGCAAGCTATTGTGTTCGCCCCTTACACCGGCACAAGCGGATGAACAATGAAACATTGACCTAAAAAATAAATAAAAAAACAAAGAAAACAAACAACAACAACAAACCCAAACAGAACAACACAATGGTTAAATATATTACATTAAACACGTGAACAATGGTAAGATTAAATCCAAAGTTGATAATATGGCTCCTCTATAAGATAAGATTGTAATAACACCTTGTTTTCTGGTACAATATATAACATTCATTTCAAATAAGAACACACGGATATAAAAAATTACAACTTAGCTCGCCTGTGACGAAACAGCACAATAAGTTCTCTGTAACACATAGTGTACAAGTAGAAAACTAAATGTACATGCGTTGCAAGATGAGACCCCTGTACTATATTTAAGACATGATAGGTGAATATATACCTTAAATATCACCATAAGTCACGTAAATCTATTCTTTACTTAAGATAATATAATAATGTAGTTTACATAAACAGTTATCATAATAATGCCTTTTAAGCCGGATTTTAAAAGTTTTTCATAACGCTTGGTACATCCATTTATAGCGTATTTGTGTTATATTTATTTAAGAATGATTTGAAAAAAAAATCAGTTATAAATGTTAGTTTTGGAAATAATCACCAAAGGCTCGTTCAGACATATAAGGATTAAAAAAGGTTTAAATTGATTTGTGTAATTATACAACTGTTTTGTACGCTTTTTTTATTTTTCAGTTTATAATAAGAATTGCAGTAAGCCAGAGGACTGCACAACATTGAAGAATTCGATATGTGCGACGCTAAATACAACGGAGACGTCAAACACCACAAGTAACACAGCTGATACAATGGTAAATGTCAGCAAAACAATTTGTAGATGTAAAACGGGATTCTATTACAACACGCAGAATATTTCTTGTGATAAAGGTAAATACCAATTATGATATAATATGGCATTTTTGTAGGTTGTATATCATCATTATTGATATTTTCACTACGCTGTTTAAGATCATCTATTACTGTCCACAATTACGACTTATTTTTACACATTTAAAACATCTGTTTTTTATACCTTCGGCACTTCTATATTCAATTTGAAATAAATCATTATATTTCAATGTCACAGGGAAAAAAGAACAATCTAAAGGTAACAGAAAACACAAGATAATTTCAATATAATCAGTATTTTACACACCACCAGTTCAAGTGTTTCCTCTGTATTTTAATCGAACGAATTCTTAAATAGTCGTCATGTTTAGTAAAAAAGTATAATTCACTTTGACTAGCAAGCTCGTGTGTTATTTTATGCAAGATGACACAATGTGGGTACTTAAAAGAATAACCCTTTATCGATTGTAAAACAAATACCGATACAGGAAAGGATCCAACGGCGAAGGGTAGGGAGGGTAAAGGGACTGACGCCCCACAGACATATTGGCCTGAATATTTTGTTTTATCAAAAAGGCACTTTGAGAGTAAAACATTAGCAAAAACTGGCTTACGATAAATGTAAGTTACAAAATCCTTGTTTTTTTCGGACTCCTGCTAGCTTTCTGTCCTTCATCAGTGTAGAGGCAGATTAAACCGCTACATAATACCGATTAAAATTTCCTAAGAAAATAAAAAAAAGCCACTTACTCTAAGAGGGCAGGGGACGCATTTGAATGATGGTCTCGGCCAAATCTATTAATAACATAGACATTGTGTTTTGAAAATCCTGAAAATTTTCTTATTTTCTATCGTTCTAATTCTGTCTTGTTTGTGTGTACGAAATGAGCAGTATTTTTTACCCGAAACTAAACATTTGGTAGCTTTGTATGTATTTGTGTCAGTTGACATTTGGCGCCAAACAAGTACACCGTGTATATCCAGTAACGCAGGAATGTGCAAATAACGCAGAAATTGTGCAAAAGTAACGCGAAATTTTGCAATTTAGTGGCCAAAACGAGCACCGCGATAAGTAAATGGACCAATATTATTTATTGTACACCAAATTAGAAGAAATGAGTTAGCGCATACGGCTGCTGAGACATTATACTTTAAACATCATCAAACATATTTCCATGAAAATGTGTATTTTTCAAGATCATTCATGAAAATGACGACCTGACTAGCGTATTGATGGCGATTTCTAATTTTGTTGATATATTTAAGTACAATAACGTTCATATTACTTTATGTTTTTTATATTCGGTGTACATGAGACATTTTCCAATCTACTCGTGTCATATTACACTTAATTTAGCAGATAAAACATAATTGAGGCCATTTGTACGAGGTAACGCCGAATTCGTGAACAAACACTGAAGCAACGGCGGTTATCACATTAAAAGTAGCTAAATCTTATTTTACTAGCTTCCTTCTATTGTTATTCGGCACTTGTAGTTTGACAAATGTCTTAGGTATACAGAATATGAAAAAACGTTTTAAATGTGTTAAATTGATATTTATTTGACTAAACACAAACGTCACCTACAAAATGGGCTGTCTTTCTCACGAATGATCTAAGAAAGTAAACAAAATGCTGAAAAAATTGGAATGCTGGTTAAAGTATAATGTCATAGCAGTTGTATGCGCTTATTCATTTCTTTAAATTTGCTTTATAATAAAATATTTTGGTTCATTTACTTACTGTCTTATTTCTTTTGGCAATAGCGTTACACAGATTCGGCGTTACTTTAACGTTAATTGCACATTCCTGCATTGCAGGATATGCACGGTGAAGTACAAAAGTTTGGATAAATTTTGTGAAAAATCTAAACGGAGGACAGACAACTCATTGGGCGTTTTTGAAAATGACATTGATTGCACTGTGTGTTATTCATAGTTTTTAAGAAATTGTGCGAATTCTGGACTATCCTGCACCTTCATGAAGATGGCCCATATTAGTATATTTCAGGTGTGATATTTGTTGGGTGGGGGTAAATATAAATTGCTGTCAGTCATTATCCTTAGGAGCAATGCATTGGCAAACTATTATTTTGTAAAACTGGTTATGTGCCTGTGTAACAGATTTTGAAATATTTCGCATTGTTTTTCTGGACATAATTGACCTACGAAATTGCTCATTTTTAGGTTCCTTGCCCCATTGCTATCTAAAAACATTTACTGATCAACCCTTGAATGTGATGATTTTTTCTTATATATATTCAGCTATTTTTAACTTTTCATCTTTATCGATGCTGAAGCGTATGTGGTGTAAATTTTTATTCAAAAGCATTTTAGGGTTTTTAGAGTTTATCATTATTCATTAAAGGGGCTTTTCCTTCCAATGGAAGGCAGGACCATTTATAGGCATTTGTTCATTTTAAGTCATAGATTTATCATAGAAATCTATGGTGGCTGATTTTTGCCATTTCGTTTTTACGACTTGCGACCCAGTCAAGCGAAATGTCGAGAATTAACAAAGTAAAATGGCAGGCGTGCGGAACGAGGACACGCTAATTAGCGGGGGCGCGGGGCAAAAAGTCAAGATCTTTTTTGGAAAATGGCGGGACCGCGAAGCGAAACATTTATTGATATATTGTTGTTCGCGTGTTATAGGGTATATAATATATATTTGTTTATTACATTTCACTGGCCTATACTTAACCTATACTTTTAATAAACTATTTTAAATTATATTATTTTTAAATATACACACATACAAACACAAAGCAAATTATATAAGTTTTACATGGTACTTTTACAGGGTGTTATATGCAGTTGTTTGTATTAAAAACTCCTTTTCGTTAAATTTAATTTACTTTTGCACGGGTTAAAAACCAATTGTAACTTTTTTTGCCTTTTTTCGCCAAAAAATTAAAACAATAACAAAGCCATTTTCGTGCTATATAATATTTACCATTTTTGTATTTATTTATTTATATAATTACAAAATCGTATCTTTTGTCGCGTTATCATTCACTTCAACCCCAAATTTCCATAATACTGCCTACCTGGTTAAGCTAACCCGCGACACGCGCACTCTTTAGATTATTCTTATAAAGCTCGATTTGTCGCTCCGCACCCGCGACTTAGCCTATTAGCCTTAGCCTATTTTTGCTCTTCGCACCCGCCATTGTCGATGAACAAAAGGATTATGTGAAAATATTGGGATGGAAATGAAATACATGATGATTTAGAGGGTAGATGTGCAGTTTTTTTCCGGCAAACATTTTTCTCTTGTGTTTAGTCCAATACATCCGACGTTACGGACTTGTTATAATTTATGTCGGTCAAGCCCGACTTTGCCCAGAAGCAAAACTATCTCATAGCGACGCCATATTTATAGGACTAGAGTTCTATTATTGACATATGACATCTTAATTAAAACGGTTTATGTTAATATTTTTTATGTATATGATAAGTACATGAGTTAGGATTGACAAGTATACATTTTATTTAAATGCGTTTTGAGCTCAACACCCCAAGTATTTGTGAAACCAGACATCAAAACTTTAAACGTTTTTTTTCTCTAAATTTAGATTTTGTCAATTTTTTTATACTTACGATTTCTTAGATTGTGAAATATTTCATTCGAGTCGACTCGATTGGGAACATTTGCAGGTGTGCGATGACGTTGTGTACATGTATTGGTTTATTACTTATAGAACGACAGAAACCAAAACAAAATAAAATCGACAATAATAAAAACGAATTTATCCGGGGCTACAAACGCCTGTTTTTGACATTTTGTTTGTAATTTAAGAAATACAAAATTTCTCTATGTAAAATGTAATCCATTTACTGGCTTAGTATAAAAAAGCCAATCAACATTGCGTTGCTTTATTTTTATGTCTTACAAGCTGCACACATTCTTAGGATTTATGTAATGAGTAACACGAAGGCCATAAATGAATTGTATTTATAGAAAATATGGACAAGAAGGTTCCATAGCATCAAAATTTATTTAAAGTATAAGATATTTCCGTTGGATAGAAAATCATGCGCATCGATTCACTCTTCTTTAAACACAAACAAAAGAAAGCAAAACATTTTCTCAGCTATCTAAGTAAGTTAAAGTAAGTTTTACCTCCTTCTCCCTTGCAATCAGACCGCTGACAATTGATATATTTGTGTCAGCAAATTGAACAATCTTGTAAATTACTACATACAATAAAAAGCTGATAAAACTATTGTATCATCATTGTAAATCTTATATATGCTTCACTATTGTGGAGGCGAATTGGTTCCAAAGTTAAGATATAAAAAACTCCTCCATGTTAGATGTAAACTATTTACATGCTGCTATTAAAAGTCCATTAACAACATTGATATTGCCTTGTTTTATTTTTATGTCTTACAAGCTGAACAAACTCTTGGGATTAACTAAATGAGAAACACGATGACCTGAATGAAATTAAAGTCAAATGTAAGCAAAATTAAAAACGGTATCTTATATAATAAGACTATAATCATTATACATGTTTGGGTGCATCATTTCACTATATCGATCCGCAAATGTTTACGCCTTTTTGTCAAAAGGGAGAAAAAATGAAATAACTAATGGTTAGGATATATTCCTTACCATTTGTTATTTCATTAATGAAAACGATAAAAGGAAAAGAAAAAGTTCCGACGTATCAAAACGTTTCTGAAATGTTTTGTGACATGTTTACAAGTTAAAAATTAGTATAATTAGTTTGAACATTGTAATGGAGAGTTACAAAAAGTGAGGACAGTGTAAGAAATTTGCCACTTAATGATTTAAAGTTATAATATTAAAATTTGTGATTTCAGTTATTGACAAAAAATGTCAAGACGAGGAAACACGTTTATCATGCCTTCGAGTAGGAAATGCAAATTGTAAAAAAAATGAAAGTTGTAAATGTGAACATGGGTTCGTGAAGGGTGATGGCGGAATATCTTGTGAAACAGGTACGTTGATGCTTAGGCATTATACTTTTGTGAAATTAGCGATTCATGTATTAAATACTATAATAATATAAGCATCTTAAGACATATTGACGAACTTGAGCTACTGATTTGTCAAGAATGAACAAACTTGGTGCTAAGTGCAAAAACAAGGATAAAGGGTAAAAAGAATAAATATTGTGCAACGGCCTAATGTTTTCTAGTGGACATAGTTTTATATTTGTACTTAAGGTCTGAAATGTAACTATTGTGGTCATACAGGAAGTAACTAAACATGTGTCGTAAATTCTTCCTTCAACAGCAAAAGTCTTCGTTAATTTGAATATCCTTCGCATGCATGATTTTATGATAATCGAAATACTACATCTGCATTTTTATCTTACAAAACTATGTTGACTTTGATAACTTTTATTTTCATCGCTTATAATTAACGCTTAGTTCCTGTTAAGTATTTTATTTATTTTGTTGCAGCAGTATGTGCAACTGAATAGATAAGGAATATTGCAATACTGTTTATTATTTGTTTCTGTTTCTTAGAATTATTTAATAATTTCTATAAAGCTCAGAGGGGACTGTTTACTCCTGCGATCAATAAAATTTCCATATACAAAAGTTTCTTTTCAGCATATTGCGTACGAGAAATAACGTGACGAAAATAATTTAACTGCTATCATAAATATATCAAGCATAAAAGAGTTATAACAGCCCAAATAATAATAAACATTGAACAACGATCCTCCTAAGATCACTTGTCTGACACATCAACATCTCGGCCAAGCCGCAACACATTGGATCAATATTGGGCTCACTCCTGGGGCAACTTTTTTTTTATAAAATCCTGTATGTATATTTAAGTTCAGTTTTGTTTTACTTGTCTCAAACATACATACATGTTCATCGCCAATACGATGTGATAATGTATGGCGGTAAAGATAAATAAAATCATGAGACAAGTATGACATAATTGATCACATGTATGAGAAAGCGCTTTTCAGTCTTAATATTGTGAAACTTAAATGCAAATAGTTTAAAAATTGTCATATAACAGATATTGGGTATGTGTCATTCCTTTATGGGTCTCAACAAAACTGAGATTATTTTTTAATCATGCCCTCTGGGTCAATATATTGCCCGCTCAGGGAGTCCCTTTATTGATATAGATTTAATAAAGAAAGAAAAGTCTTATTGGGTGAAACAACAATGCCAAGACCTATCCTTGGCATGTAGCATTGTGGACCTCTGCAAATCGGGGGACAATATTGGCCCGCCCCGGTGTCACTTGATTTTTGTAGACTTCTATTGGAAAACAAACATTATAGTTAAAAATGGAATATCAAAGAACGCCTCAAACGATAAAATTGAAAATGTTGCAGGCACCTATTCATGGACGGTAATGGAATGTACAAATTTACCATCTCTGCCCCCTAGCACCGACGAACTTATGTTTAGTCATTGACATAAAGCCTTATGTATTAATGATAGATATTCGGATTAAATAAGATTAATTTGAAAAACTAGGGAATGACAGTAGCTTTACCAAGATTGCTTAATGTTTACATGCCTTGTACTTTTGGTCTCCTGAATTTAATCTAGAGTAATTTTGATTTTATATCGCAGAATTATTAACAAGCATTCACTAAATGTTAGACCAGAAAGTCTTATACAAATAAAAGTTTATTTAATGGAGCTTTCCACTAGTAACTGTTTGTTTTCCCTCAAATTCATGATTAGTATGCTTGTACACATTTTTGTATTTGGCATTACAGTATATAAGAAAAGAAACTGTAGTGATGACACATCATGTAGCAAATTACAACACTCAGTATGTGTCAAGCCAGCTAGAACAACAGTTGCCATGACATCGATTGCTTCTACTGAAAGTTCTAGTTCGCAAATAATATATGGCAAATGTGAATGTGACAGTGGATATTATTATAACAACTCACAATTTGCTTGCCAGAAAGGTATTGTGTTAAGTTTCAATGTCGTTCCCTCATGAATATAAACTGTTGTTTTAACATGTAAAAGAAAAAGACTTTTTGAAAGCTTACATCCGTCATTAGTCATAAATATTGCGCGTGTCTGGAAAAAGTGTATTTATATTTAAATAGGATTATTGTAAAACTTAAATAGATATTTTTTATCATCGGGGTAATGTGTTTCGAATTATATTTGAAATACACCGATTTAAGCCATTTCCTACATTAAAATACACAAGGATTACTAATTTCGAAAATAATTTTTAGTGTTGGCTGATTCTCTTTTTTCAATATAGTATTCCAATAGACGAATACTAATAGAACATGTTTAATTTCCACTTGACCCTTTGTTGTTTCTTCTGTAGTTTATAAAATTGCAAACACATATCATTTTATCTAAAATCAAAATCATGTTTATGTCCAATGTCTGAAATAGCTAGAACAAGTCAATGCAGTTTGTATGGTTATGATGTTTTAATTGCTATCTATTCGTAACGTTTCTATGTGTCATTTTCCATGTTTGAAATTCCATAAGGAAAGTAAAAGCCACAGTTATTCATTGTTTTCGACTAGTTCAATTATGTACTTATGCAAAGGATGGAATCAAATATTTTGAAATGGTTTTCCGGTATCTTGTTCAGTTCTTCGAAATGCTTGTGGTGTTAGTGATGGTGCAAATACATGCAGTGATGTACAACATGCTATATGTGCAGAGAATAAAACTTGTGTATGTGGACCAGGTTTTGAAATTAACACTGAAAATACGTCTTGCAATGAAGGTATTATATTATCAGTCTTGTAATGTCATGTCATTTGCTTGAATATATTAAAACATAAAAAAGACCGAGTAAATTACAAAATTAATATTGCAATTAAATTACAAAATCAGTTCAAATATAGCAGATTGTTTCTTTAAGAATGTTTGTGAGATAGCACAGCTAAATATGAAAAAGAATGTTTTGTCTAGTCTTGAAACCTTGTTGAACAAAAAGATTTCAAGTATCATGAGAACAAAGTTTACATATACAATGTATTTGCAAACCTATGTTTAAAAGCCCTAAACAAACATGACTTACAAAAAGGTTAATGGTATTTGTCATAACAATACTCTGATTTTGTTTTATTCTAGTTCATAATAGTTCATGTACGCCACAAAATCAACATTCTGGATGCTTGTTCTTACCTAATTCAATATGCACCACTGAAACCAAAAACAGTGGTTCCGCACATATGACAGTACCTTACCCTACTACATCAACATTATTTTCATCACCGTCAACAACAACAACAAAAACAACAAGAACAGCAGCAGCAACAACACCCAGTCAACAAAGCGACGAAACAAAGAGCAATAAATGCTTATGTCAACATGGATACTACTACATGCAGCGTAATAGAACGCACGCTGCTTGTGAACCCGGTATTTGAATACATATTGCTTTAAACATTATTTATTGAATTGCCGTGTGACACGAGTAAATGAGAAGGCATTTAATAGTTGTTTTATTTTGGCTTATCGGGAACTACAGACTAATTGTTATGTATCATAGCAAGAATATCTGCATTTGTATCTATAAAACCTATGATGTCTTTAAAAATGCTATTTACGTCTTTGTTTAATAATGGACATTGATGACATTTATATACTTAATTTTAACGGAAATAAGAAGTAGTATATGTTAGAAATATTGCACTTCTTACTCTTAATTTTCATTCTTTAAAGTTACTCAGCAATTTTGCTAAGAATGTGTTAATAGTTTGCATGTGATTGTTTCCATTTTGCGGTTCAATTCTTGAAAACTATAAATGTTTTTGATCACTAAGCCTAAAGTTTCAAATACTGTATTTTGCGATATACCAAATGTGAAGGAAATGATTTGACTGCTACAAGTTTAACATTTAATTTTGAACTGAAAAACTTAAAAAAGCTCAAGCATCTTTATTAAATTTGATGATAGACATCAATACCTTGTTTACACAAATACGTTCAAGGATTAAAATAAAGAAATAGATATTTAATTGATTTGTCTAATGATACCACTGTTGTTTTATCAGTTTTAGGTCGTTTTTGTGACGATGCTCATGAGTGTTCGGGAATTACCAACGCTGTATGCACGAAAGGTTTAAATTCAACTGCACCTTTAAGATGTTATTGTGCACATGGATTCGATTCAAACAAAGAATTGACTTGCTTTGAAGGTTGGTTTCTAACGTTTCCTATCTAATGCCCCTGACAAGTGGAATATGAAAGTCGCATCGTCCGTGTATCTGTCCGTCTACATGTGCATCCCAATTTGCACAACATTCGTGTCCGAACTGTATTAGCCATGCATCTAAGAATCTAAAGTAACTTGGCACAAATGTGTATTACTTCATGATGATGTTATGCATCTAAGACCCATGTCCCTCCCTCAAAGGGCAAGGTCACATTTAAAGTTTAACAATTCACATTCTCACAATTAGAGTTAAAAGTAAACGCGTTTGTGTCTAGACTGTAATTTTGTAATGTATGGAAGGATTTTCAAATAACCTACCATATAAGTCTGCCACATAAAGACAACATGTTGCGTATAAGATTCATGGTCAATGTCACACTTATAGTTTAACAGGTACTCATTCTCACATAGAGAGTTTGAAAATACACAATAGTGTCAGGACTGTAACTTTGTCATGCATTAAAGGAGATTAAATAATTTGGCACACATTTCTACCACATCAAGACAACGTGTCGCGTCTGAGGCCAATGCCAATACCTAAAAGTAACTTTGCTAATGTTTCTATATTGCTCAAACACACGTTTAATAGTAACCATGAATTTGTTGCAAGTCAACGTCATGCTTCCCCTTCTTGTCCGTGCAATGGGGCATTTGTCTGTTTCCAGCGGCAGTTTTGTTCCGTTTTTAGTTTGACACCAGGTCTAATTCTCTTGTCATTTGCTATTTCTTATCTTATACATGTACAGTAAACTTGTAACAGTATTGAACAAATACATTCATGTAGGTGAATAGATACCTGCTTCAAATCATCTTTGGTATTCTGTACTTGGCCTTGAAATACTGCATCTTCATAAGTAAAACCTTATGTATTAAATTTAACCTCTTATATGAAGACAAATATATTCTTATCTATGGCTGCCGGTGATGATGACTCGTTTTATCCTAAAATAATGTTCAATCACTGACATAAGACATTACGTATTAAGAAATAAAAATACAGGCTCGGACTCTATTATATTCATTTGAAAATACTTACAGAAATACCGGTACTTTACAAAGATTTATTTTTACATGCCCGCATATAATTTTATCAATCTCTTAATCTAAAATAAATTTGATTTCCTATCGTAGAATTGTCAGTAAGCATGAATTAAATGTTTCTTCACTAAATCATTTGGAAGTTCGTATTCAGATACAAGCATACTTAATAGAGCTTTGCACTAGTCGCTGTTGTTTTTCCTCTATCAATTAAATGTATTTCTTTCTTTGGGGTCATTATGATTATTTTACACATGCATGATTAGCTTGCTTGTACACATTTTTGTATTTGGCATTACAGTATATAAGAAAAGAAACTGTAGTGATGACACATCATGTAGCAAATTACAACACTCAGTATGTGTCAAGCCAGCTAGAACAACAGTTGCCATGACATCGATTGCTTCTACTGAAAGTTCTAGTTCGCAAATAATATATGGCAAATGTGAATGTGACAGTGGATATTATTATAACAACTCACAATTTGCTTGCCAGAAAGGTATTGTGTTAAGTTTCAATGTCGTTCCTCATGAATATAAACTTGTTGTTTTAACATGTAAAAGAAAAAGACTTTTTGAAAGCTTACATCCGTCATTAGTCATAAATATTGCGCGTGTCTGGAAAAAGTGTATTTATATTTAAATAGGATTATTGTAAAACTTAAATAGATATTTTTTATCATCGGGGTAATGTGTTTCGAATTATATTTGAAATACACCGATTTAAGCCATTTCCTACATTAAAATACACAAGGATTACTAATTTTCGAAAATAATTTTTAGTGTTGGCTGATTCTCTTTTTTCAATATAGTATTCCAATAGACGAATACTAAATAGAACATGTTTAATTTCCACTTGACCCTTTTGTTGTTTCTTCTGTAGTTTATAAAATTGCAAAACACACATATCATTTAATCTAAAAATCAAAATCATGTTTATGTCCCAATGTCAGAAATTAGCTAGAACAAGTCAATGCAGTTTGTATGGTTATGATGTTTTAATTGCTATCTATTCGTAACGTTTCTATGTGTCATTTTCCATGTTTGAAATTCCATAAGGAAAGTAAAAGCCACAGTTATTCATTGTTTTCGACTAGTTCAATTATGTACTTATGCAAAGGATGGAATCAAATATTTTGAAATGGTTTTCCGGTTTCTTGTTCAGTTCTTCGAAATGCTTGTGGTGTTAGTGATGGTGCAAATACATGCAGTGATGTACAACATGCTATATGTGCAGAGAATAAGACTTGTGTATGTGGACCAGGTTTTGAAATTAACACTCAAAATACGTCTTGCAATGAAGGTATTATATAATCAGTCTTGTAATGTCATGTCATTTGCTTGAATATATTAAAACATAAAAAAGACCGAGTAAATTACAAAATTAATATTGCAATTAAATTACAAAATCAGTTCAAATATAGCAGATTGTTTCTTTAAGAATGTTTGTGAGATAGCACAGCTAAATATGAAAAAAGAATGTTTTGTCTAGTCTTGAAAACCTTGTTGAACAAAAAGATTTCAAGTATCATGAGAACAAAGTTTACATATACAATGTATTTGCAAACCTATGTTTAAAAGCCCTAAACAAACATGACTTACAAAAAAGGTTAATGGTATTTGTCATAACAATACCCTGATTTTGTTTTATTCTAGTTCATAATAGTTCATGTACGCCACAAAATCAACATTCTGGATGCTTGTTCTTACCTAATTCAATATGCACCACTGAAACCAAAAAACAGTGGGTTCCGCACATATGACAGTACCTTACCCTACTACATCAACATTATTTTCATCACCGTCAAACAACAACAACAAAAACAACAAGAACAGCAGCAGCAACAACACCCAGTCAACAAAGCGACGAAACAAAGAGCAATAAATGCTTATGTCAACATGGATACTACTACATGCAGCGTAATAGAACGCACGCTGCTTGTGAACCCGGTATTTGAATACATATTGCTTTAAACATTATTTATTGAATTGCCGTGTGACACGAGTAAATGAGAAGGCATTTAATAGTTGTTTTATTTTGGCTTATCGGGAACTACAGACTAATTGTTATGTATCATAGCAAGAATATCTGCATTTGTATCTATAAAACCTATGATGTCTTTAAAAATGCTATTTACGTCTTTGTTTAATAATGGACATTGATGACATTTATATACTTAGTTTTAACGGAAACAAGATGTAGTATATGTTAGAAATATTGCACTTCTTACTCTTAATGTTCATTCTTTAAAGTTACTTAGCAATTTTGCTAAGAATGTGTTAATAGTTTGCATGTGATTGTTTCCATTTTGCGGTTCAATTCTTGAAAAATGTAAATGTATTTGATGACTAAGCCTAAAGTTTCAAATTCTGTATTTTGCGATATACCAAATATGAAGGAAATGATTTGACTGCTGGAAGTTTAATATTTAATTTTGAACTGAAAAACATAAAAAAGCTCAAGCATCTTTATTAAATTTGATGATAGACATCAATACCTTGTTTACACAAATACGTTCAAGGATTAAAATAAAGAAATAGATATTTAATAGATTTGTCTAATGATACCACTGTTGTTTTATCAGTTTTAGGTCGTTTTTGTGACGATGCTCATGAGTGTTCGGGAATTACCAACGCTGTATGCATGAAAGGTTTAAATTCAACTGCACCTTTACGATGTTATTGTGCACATGGATTCGATTCAAACAATAAATTGACTTGCTTTGAAGGTTGGTTTCTAACGTTTCCTATCTAATGCCCCTGACAAGTGGCATATGAAAGTCGCATCGTCCGTGTATTTGCCCGTCTACATGTGCATCCCAATTTGCATAACATTCGTGTCCGAACTGTATTTGCCATACATTTACGAATCTTAAAGTAACTTGGCACAAATGTGTATTACTTCATGATGATGTTTTGCATCTAAGACCCATGTCCCTCCCTGAAAGGGCAAGGTCACATTTAAAGTTTAACAATTCACATTCTCACAATTAGAGTTAAAAGTAAACGCGTTTGTGTCTAGACTGTAATTTTGTAATGTATGGAAGGATTTTCAAATAACCTACCATATATGTCTGCCACATAAAGACAATATGTCGCGTATAAGATCCATGGTCAATGTCACCCTTATAATTTTAATGTACTTAATCTCACATAGAGAGTTTGAAAATACACAATAGTGTCAGGACTGTAACTTTTAATGCATTAAAGGAGTTTAAAACAATTTGGCACACATTCCTATAATGTTTCTATATTGCTCAAACACACGTTTATTTGGTAAACATGAATTTATTGCAAGTCGACGTTACGCTTCCCCTTCTTGTCCGTGCAAGGGGGGCATTTGTCTGTTTCCAGCGGCAGTTTTGTTTCGTTTTTAGTTTGACACCAGGTCTAATTCTCTTGTCATTTGCTATTTCTTATCTTATACATGTACAACAAACTTGTAACGGTATTGAACAAATACATTCATGTAAGTGAATAGATACCTGCTTCAAATCATCTTTGGTATTCTGTACTTGGCCTTGAAATACTGCATCTTCATAAGTAAAACCTTATTTAACCTCATATATGAAGACAAATACATTTTAATATGGAAAGCCTTGACTGTCTTATGATTGTAAAAAAACGAACGTTGTTGTGTCACTCTTTCTTTATACAATGTGCACTCATGATTATATTATGTAGATGCATCCTTATATGAATTCAACTGAACAATATGTGATGTCAATGTGTCTTTATATGATGTCGACCAATCATTATACGCTGTGCATTTATGAATATATTATGTGGTAGAATCATTATATACAGTCAACTTATCAATATATTATGTCAATCTTTCATTATACGATGTGCATCTATTATTATACGATGTGCATCTATGAATATATTATGTGGTTGCATCATTTTATACAGTCAACTTATCAATATATTATGTCAATCTTTCATTATACGATGTGCATCTATTGTTATACGACAGCTGCTTTATATGAAGTGCAAACATCATATTATGGTGTGCTTCTGTCATTATACCATGTATACTGATGGGTTTAAATTTACAGGGTTATATCTCACTATGCACCGTTCGTGGCAACAGCGGGAAACTCAAAGTAAATTATATCATATAGTGTTATGCTGACTCTATATAAAGACAATTCTACATAATATAGTGTTGTTTTGACTCTATATAAGAATGGTTCCACATAATATATTCGTAATTGCACATCATATAATGAAAGACTGACATCATATAAGGACACATACACATCATATATTGTTAAGTTGACTCTATATAAGGATAGTTCCACATGATATATTCATTAATGCACATCGTATAATGAAAGACTGACATCATATAAGGACGAATTGACATAATATATTGTTTAGTTGACTCTATATAAAGACGGTTCTACATAATATATTGTTGTTTTGACTCTATATAAGAATGGTTCCACATAATATATTCGTAAATGCACATCATATAATGAAAGACTGACTTCATATAAGGACATATTCACATCATATATTGTTATTTTGACTCTATATAAGGATTGTTTCACATAATATACTGAAAAATGCACATCGTATAATGATAGATTGACATCGTATAAGGACGCGTTGACATCATATAATGTTGACTCTATATAAGAATCATTCCACATATTAATATAATTATAACTTCACATTATATAATGACAGATTGACTTCATAAAAGGACAGAATGACATCATATATTGTTATTTTGAACTTATATAAGGATGGCTCCACATAATATATTCAAAAGTGCACAACGTATAATGATAGATGGAAATCATAAAAAGGCACGTTGACATCATATATTGTTCAGTTGACTACATATAAAGATGGATCCACATAATATATCAATGAATGCGCATTGTATAAGGAAAGGTTGACTCAATATATTGCTATTTGGACATAACAACATTTACGTTTATAGTTATAAGACAGTCAAAGCTTTCCATATTTTTATCTATGGCTGCCGGTGATGATGACTCGTTTTATCCTAAAATTATGTTCAAACACTGACATAAGACATTACGTATTAAGAAATAAAAATACAGGCTCGGACTCAATTATATTCATTTGAAAATACTTACAGAAATACCGGTACTTTACAAAGATTAATTTTTACATGCCCCGCATATAATTTTATCAATATCTTAATCTAAAGTAAATTTGATTTCTTATCGTAGAATTGTCAGTAAGCATGAATTAAATGTTTCTTCACTAAATCATTTGGAAGTTCGTATTCAGATACAAGTTTGCTTAATAGAGCTTTGCACTAGTCGCTGTTGTTTTATTCTCTTTCAATTAAATGTATTTCTTTCTTTTGGGTCATTATGATTATTTTACAAATTCATGATTAGGTTGCTTGACTGTACACATTTTTGTATTTGGCATTACAGTATATAAGAAAAGAAACTGTAGTGATGACACATCATGTAGCAAATTACAACACTCAGTATGTGTCAAGCCAGCTAGAACAACAGTTGCTATGACATCGATTGCTTCTACTGAAAGTTCTAGTTCGCAAATAATATATGGCAAATGTGAATGTGACAGTGGATATTATTATAACAACTCACAATTTGCTTGCCAGAAAGGTATTGTGTTAAGTTTCAATGTCGTTCCTTCATAATATAATCTTGTGTTTTAACATGTAAAAAAGAAAATTTTTTGAAAGCTAACAGCCGCCATTAGTCATAAATATTGCGCGTGTCTGGAAAAAGTGTATTTATATCTAAATAGGATTATTGTAAAACTTAAATCAATATTTTTATCACCGGGGTAATGTGTTCCGAATTATATTTGAAATACACCGATTTAAGCCATTTCCTACATTAAAATACACAAGGATTAGTCACTTCGAAAATAATGTTTAGTGTTGTTTGATTCTCTATTTTCAAGATATTATTCCGATAGACGAATACTAATAGTGCATGCTTAATTTTGACTTGACACTTTGTTGTTTCTTCCGTAGTTTATAAAATTGCAATCATATATCATTTTATCTAAAATCAAAATCATGTTTATGTCCAATGTCTGAAATAGCTAGAACAAGTCATCGCAGTTTGTATGGTTATGACATTTTAATTATCCATTCGTAACGTTTCTATGTGTCATTTTCCATGTTTGAAATTCCATAAGGAAAGTAAAAGCCACAGTTATTCATTGTTTTCGACTAGTTCAATTATGTACTTATGCAAAGGATGGAATCAAATATTTTGAAATGGTTTTCCGGTTTCTTGTTCAGTTCTTCGAAATAATTGTGGTGTAAGTGATGGTGCAAATACATGCAGTTATGTACAACATGCTATATGTGCAGAGAATAAAACTTGTGTATGTGGACCAGGTTTTGAAATTAACGCTCAAAATACGTCTTGCAATGAAGGTATTATATTATAAGTCTTATGATGTCATGTCATTTGCTTGAATATATTAAAACATTATAAAGACCGATTAAATTCCAAAATGAATGCTGCTATTGTATTACAAAATCAGTTCAAATATAGCAGTTTGTTTCTTTAAAAATGATTGAAAGATACAGTGTAGTACAGCTGATTATAAAAAAAGGATGTTTTGTCTAGACTAGCTAGTCGAACCAATGATCTTCATGTAGAACACAGTTAATATTTATTTGCAAACCAATGTAAATAAGCCCCACACAAACATGACTTAAAATGTTAATAGCATATGTCACAACAATACTATGTTTTCATTCTAGTTCATAAAAGTACATGTTCGCCACAAAATCAACATTTTGGATGCTTGTTTTTACCTAATTCAATATGCACCATTGAAACCAAAAACAGTGGTTCCTCACTTATAACAGTACGTTACCATTCATCCTCAACATTTTTATCATCACCGTCAACAAAAACAACAGCAACAACAACAACAACAACATCAGCAATAACAAGTCAACTAAGCGACGAAGCAGAGAGCTTTACATGCTTATGTAAACATGGATACTACTACCTTCAGCTTAACGAAACGCACGCTGCTTGTGAACCCGGTATTTGAACACTGTTTTCTAAATCGATTTTTTTATTAAATTGCGTATGACACCTATGAAACAGAAGGCATTACATAGTTTATATGGTTCATCGGAAACTTTTAATCGTATTGCTACCACTTAAATGGACATGATTACCTTTATATACTTAATTTTAACAGAAATTAGTGTACTATATATTAAAAATATGGCACTACTTTCTTTTATTTTGTATTCTTTTAAGTAATTTAACAATATTGCTTTTTGTAAATTATTCCAGGTGATTGTTTTTTTGCGGTTGGATTCTTGAAAAATATCAATATATGTCATGACCAATCCTAAAGTTTCAAATTCACCATTTTGAGTGACAACAAATGCGTGAAGGAAATGATTTGATTGCTGGAATTGAACGTTTATATTTGAATTGTAAAAAATGAAGCATCTGAATTGTATTTGGTTATGTAAATTAAAACCTTGTTCAGACTTACGCACTAGGATAAAATAAGTATAAAATAGGTTTTTAATCAATCTTTGAACAGTGTTTGATATTCAGTATAATTACAATAACATGACGTTTTTATTAAAGTATTAGGTCGGCCATGTGACAATGATCAACAGTGTTCGGGAATTATCAATGCTGTATGCAAAGGAATGCTACATTCAACTACAGTAAAAAGGTGTTTTTGTGCAAATGGATTCGACTCAAGCAATCAATTGTTTTGCTTTGAAGGTTGGTTTTCTTACGTTTCGTTCCCGTCGTTTTTTTATGAGCCAGATTCCTCGTTTTCAGTTGCTTATCATTTATTTAGCTTATATAACAAATGAGAGAAAAAAATATTGATTTAATGCATTCATGTTGGTGAATAGAGATACGTATTTGAATTCATCTTTTTTATTCTGTTCGTTGTAATATGACATGGTTAGAGTAAACTGCCTCTTTATTAGTACATCCTAATATATGAAAGTTATCCTTTAATACGGAATGCAAAATAAATGTATATGACTGTCGATGCTGATGACTCATTTTATCCTTAAATTATGTTAAGTTATTGACTTATTGTCTATGAAATATTTGTGCACCTTCTGCATAGTCGCAGAAATTAGTATTTTAATTTATTTCAGCCTGGGATCCACTTTTTAAAAATCCAAGATAGTCGCCAAAATCCAATATGGCCACCAAAATGTACAATGTACATGGGACATGACAAAATATAGTTATTTATGACATGAAACATGATAAAAACTGACATTGTAGGCCAAAAAATAGTTATTGCTTTGAAACATTCTTTAGTAGCATAGGTAGAAAATTCAATATGGCTTCATAATCCATGATGACCGCCATTAAATGATTATTTTTGGACAAATTTCTATGATAAAGATAATTCATATGATCGATACTCTTTATACATAAAACACACTAATAAACTGGCATTCCTGCATAACAACCAAACACACAGGTGTACATTTATAATAAAACCATGCGAGCACATTATTTAGCTCGATATGGACTAAATAAGAGTCATTTGTAAATACTTATAGAAATGCAAGTAAATTTATTAAGATTTAGTAGATTAACATAACCCGAAAATTTTTGTCCCGTAAATTGTATCTAGAGTAATTTTGGTAATAATGTTATTTTTTAGTAAGCATGCAATAAATGTTAGTCCATATTCCTGAAACAAAAAAAATGCACGTTTAATTCATTGAGCATATAAAACAAACAAACACTCGTCACAGCTCTTATTTTCTCGTACATTTTAACGTATTTCTTTCTTTTTGGTCATTATGAAAAGTGTTTTACAAAATAATTATTATCTTGCTTGTACACATTTTTATTGGTTTACCTTTGCAGTGTATAGGAACAAAAACTGCAGTAATGACACATCCTGTAGCAGTTTACAACACTCAAGGTGTGTCAGACCAGTTAGTACAACGGTTAAAACGACATCGATTCCTTCAACTAAAACGATTCTTACAGAAACATCTATTTCGCAAATCATATATGGCAAATGTGAATGTGACAGTGGATATTATTATAATAACTCAAAGTTTGCTTGCAAGAAAGGTACTTATACATACACAGTTTTTAGTTTTGTTTTAAAAGATTTAATTAATAAAAGATGTTATAAGTTTTACACATGCAGATAATTCAGCACAAGATAAATGTTGAGTGCGCATGTTTTTGGCACTTTAAGTTCATTCTATTTGATCTTTTGATCAGCATGTCAGTTGAACATGAATATTGAATCATCTGAAATAAAGTTGCCGACTTTTTAAGTGTCCCTTTGGCGTTTTCACTGTAATATGTAGACTCTCTTACCTCTGATCTCCTTTCAAAGATTTATTCTATTTAGTTTCGCTCATTGTTTTCTCGTTTAGGGCAAACGCATACTTGGGGGCCATACGCTGATTTTTATGGAATGTCTCTGACATGAATATGTCATATTGGAAAATCCATGATAACCACCGTATAAACCAAAAAACATATGCTTCCATTTTGAAATTCCACCATTTTAATATTCAAATATTTTATTTGCTTAAACCGTGCTGTGGGACATGGACAGTAGCTTTCACTTTCTATTACTGTACATGAACAGGCTCAACCAAACAGAGCCAGTACCATTTTGAATTTTGGGAGTTATTTAAGAATTCGGGTTTTCTATTTATCTATTCATCTTAATACACATTTTGTCAAGTCATCTTTATCTAATCTTGAGCCTTCTTATTCCTAAAGTGACAAACATATTTAATTTCTGAGAAAAAAGCTTTGTTCATATTTAACAAAATAAAAGCGATACAAACTTAAGTAGTATTTAAATGTAACAAATGTTTGAAAAGCATGTACGTATATATCATTTTATGTTCGTTTCAAAACATCTATAGACACATCTTTGTCATTTCTTAAGTACGTTTGATATTAAAAACGGATTTATATAAAAATTATCTCGGTTGTTTTTTGCCCATGTCTTTCAACATTACCACTTAAAACACCTCTATAAATAGCCCAAAATGTATAAATTGTTTTATTTGCAAGCTTTGCACACAAATCCACTATTTTGCGCTGCCGTCTAAAAATTGTTCCTTGATCAAAACATTTAGATTATTGGTGAATTGTCTTTATACTTGGCCACAACAATACTTGTGGCAAGATCTTCATTAATAAATGGCATTTAACTTCAAGGTCAAGTTTCTAAATTGTGCCTTTGTTTTCAATTGCTATAAGTGGCTATAACTTTGTTTTTTTAATGGATTGTCTTTAAACCGAAACACAATAATCTTTTAGGACAGACTTCTAAGTGAATAAGACAGACCTTGACATTCACTCATGAATGACTTTGACCTTTTTCATTTTTGTTCTGCTGTAACTTGATGTAATTTTGTTATTATTGAATGGATTGACTGTATATTATAACAGAACAGTCTTTAGGATATGACTTTCATGTACATAAGATCAGTATATATGTTATTCAAAGTGGTCTTGACTCTTTTATGACTTTGATCTTCAAGGGTGTCACTGATTTTTGCTGTTATAATTGACAGTAACTTGTAATGAAGAAATGGATTATCTACAGACTTGAACAACCCATCATTTGGATATGACCTTCTTGAAAACTAACCTTGACATTGAGCTTTAAATGACCTTGAACGTCAAGGTCAAATTATGAAATTTTAGTTAGATATTCAGTATTTGTTATTAATGTACAGATTTGATTTAACCTTGAACAAATCAAGTCTTGCTTTCAAACAAACATATCAAATGACTTAGATATGACATTGACCTGAACTTATCCTGACTGTCAAGGTCAAATTAATGCAATTCTTAGCTTTTTTTCTGTAGCTGGTTATAACTTTATTATTTATACATGGATTAACTCATTTTAAGACATTTTAGGTCAAAACTTTCAAGTTAATTAAACTCAAACTGACCTTGACTCATATATGACCTTGACCTTGAAAGTCAATTTATTTTATTTTCACTGATTGTTGATATAATTGTCTGTTACTTTGTAATTAATCAATGAATTATGTTAATACATGGACAGAATAGCCTTTTAGACAACACATTATAAAAGGTTGAACTGACCTCAACCCTGAGCTTCAGATGACCTTGAATTTGGATTAAGTAGTCATGATTGTGCTATTTATATACAGATTTAGATTTTTAGATTCATACGTGGAGAAAATAACACTTGTGTCTGAACGAACATGTGAATTAATCATTATTGCAAATGTAAACCTATTTTGACTTTCACCTGTTCACTTACTTTATTTCATTGGATGGACACACTGTCACTTTACGATATTGAATCAAGCAGATTCACTTGACTGATCTTGTTTGTAGGAGGTATGTTCTATTATATATATATATATATATATATAAAGTTATATGGTGTCATATATATTTTCCAGGATGCAATCTTCCGGATGTAGGCAACACATTAACGGTTATTGAATCAAGTCAGGCAAATGATAACTTATTTAAACAAGGTTTTGTTCTGAATTACAAGTGTAAAGAAGGATATGTATTCGATAACAACTCCACAAATCACGTTATAAAGAATACGACATGCTTATTTGACGGAACATTTCAGCAGTTAAAAAGTTGCTATAAAAAAGGTGATCATTTTTCTCAAACCCTTATACATGTATTAAATGTTATCAGATATTGTTTATTTGATAAACATTGCACTATTTATATCGGGTAAGAAAGCTCAGAAAATAAGTTTATAGAAAGGAAAAATATACAGGAATTGACAAATACAAAATACTATACCGGAATAGTGATCTAATTTCTTACTGTACATATTCTATAGAAATATGTCTCTGCTTTTTATTGTATACCTTTCTCTACCTCTTTAACCCATTACTTCATATACACGCCTTTTAACGCCTTTTTCAACCCCCCTCTTTTTGTTGTCTCAAATTATCGCCAAGAAAATTTTGGACTTGTGAGAGGCTGTAAATGACCCCAGATTGATCATAAGGTAACGTGTAACCAACGCTGAAAAACATTTGACTCTATCTCAATCCATTGAAAAGTTGCAGCACTTTGAAATCAATTTTGATGGAAAAAATCAACGCAAAATAGTGATTTTTGGCAATTTTGAGATGTCCCCTCGTTGCCATGGTAACAGAAAATTTAAGCCTGGGCATGTTGTTCCAAGGGCAATGGTCCAGTCAACATTTGTGCCAAGTTTGATTAGTGTTGAAGCAGTTTTTATAGTATTATAGCAATTTGAACTTGTAACGGGAGACTTTTCAATGAAAACAGCCATTTTTCACAAAATGCTCATGAAGTAATGGGTTAATGAAAAAAATCAAAAAATCTACAAAACAACAATTTTTCTTCAAATTTATATGACAGGCCATGTTCAAACATGAAAAAACGCGATTTAGGGTAATTTCAAGTATTTTCATCATTTTCTGTTAACCCATTACTTCATATACACGCCTTTTAACGCCTTTTTCAACCCCCCCCCTCTTTTTGTTGTCTCAAATGATGAAAAAATGCCTTATTAAGGCCCCAAACACTTGATTTTGTTTGAGAAATGTTGTTAAAAAAAGTGACCTCTTTTTCGGCGCGGCCCCCCAACTAAAAGATACATCAGGGGGTTGCCAGAAGGGGGATGTGCCCCCTTCTGTTTGGGGGAGTTTGAAGGGGGGCGAAGTCCCCCTCATCGCCAAGAAAATTTTCGACTTGTGAGAGGCTGTAAATGACCCCAGATTGATCATAAGGTAACGTGTAACCAACGCTGAAAAACATTTGACTCTATCTCAATCCATTGAAAAGTTGCAGCACTTTGAAATCAATTTTGATGGAAAAAATCAACGCAAAATAGTGATTTTTGGCAATTTTGAGATGTCCCCTCGTTGCCATGGTAACAGAAAATTTAAGCCTGAGCATGTTGTTGCAAGGGCAATGGTCCAGTCAACATTTGTGCCAAGTTTGATTAGTGTTGAAGCAGTTTTTATAGTATTATAGCAATTTGAACTTGTAACGGGAGACTTTTCAATGAAAACAGCCATTTTTCACAAAATGCTCATGAAGTAATGGAAAAAAATCAAAAAATCTACAAAACAACAATTTTTCTTCAAATTTATATGACAGGCCATGTTTAAACGTTAATGAAAAAAATAAAAAAATCTACAAAACAACAATTTTTCTTCAAATTTATATGACAGGCCATGTTTAAACATGGAAAAACGCGATTTAGGGTAATTTCAAGTATTTTCATCATTTTCTGTTAACCCATTACTTCATATTCACGCCTTTTAACGCCTTTTTCAACCCCCCCCCTCTTTTTGTTGTCTCAAATGATGAAAAAATGCCTTATTTAGGCCCCAAACACTTGTTTTTGTTTGAGAAATGTTGTTAAAAAAAGTGACCTCTTTTTCGGCGCGGCCCCCAACCAAAAGATACATCAGGGGGTTGCCAGAAGGGGGATGTGCCCCCTTCTGTTTGGGGGGTTTGAAGGGGGGCGGAGTCCCCCTTATCGCCAAGAAAATTTTGGACTTGTGAGAAGCTGTAAATGACCCCAGATTGATCATAAGGTAACGTGTAACCAACGCTGAAAAAGCATTTGACTCTATCTCAATCCATTGAAAGTTGCAGCACTTTGAAATCAATTTTGATGGAAAAAATCAACGCAAAATAGTGATTTTTGGCAATTTTGAGATGTCCCCTCGTTGCCATGGTAACAGAAAATTTAAGCCTGGGCATGTTGTTTCCAAGGGCAATGGTCCAGTCAACATTTGTGCCAAGTTTGATTAGTGTTGAAGCAGTTTTTATAGTATTATAGCAATTTGAACTTGTAACGGGAGACTTTTCAATGAAAACAGCCATTTTTCACAAAATGCTCATGAAGTAATGGGTTAATGAAAAAAATCAAAAAATCTACAAAACAACAATTTTTCTTCAAATTTATATGACAGGCCGTGTTCAAACATGAAAAAACGCGATTTAGGGTAATTTCAAGTATTTTCATCATTTTCTGTTAACCCATTACTTCATATACACGCCTTTTAACGCCTTTTCAACCCCCCCTCTTTTTGTTGTCTCAAATGATGAAAAAATGCCTTATTTAGGCCCCAAACACTTGATTTTGTTTGAGAAATGTTGTTAAAAAAAGTGACCTCTTTGTCGGCGCGGCCCCCCAACTAAAAGATACATCAGGGGGTTGCCAGAAGGGGGATGTGCCCCCTTCTGTTTGGGGGAGTTTGAAGGGGGGCGGAGTCCCCCTCATCGCCAAGAAAATTTTGGACTTGTGAGAGGCTGTAAATGACCCCAGATTGATCAAAAGGTAACGTGTAACCAACACTGAAAAACATTTGACTCTATCTCAATCCATTGAAAAGTTGCAGCACTTTGAAATCAATTTTGATGGAAAAAATCAACGCAAAATAGTGATTTTTGGCAATTTTGAGATGTCCCCTCGTTGCCATGGTAACAGAAAATTTAAGCCTGGGCATGTTGTTACAAGGGCAATGGTCCAGTCAACATTTGTGCCAAGTTTGATTAGTATTGAAGCAGTTTTTATAGTATTATAGCAATTTGAACTTGTAACGGGAGACTTTCAAATGGAAACAGCCATTTTTCACAAAATGCTCATGAAGTAATGGGTTAATGAAAAAAATCAAAAAATCTACAAAACAACAATTTTTCTTCAAATTTATATGACAGGCCATGTTTAAACATGAAAAAACGCGATTTAGGGTAATTTCAAGTATTTTCATCATTTTCTGTTAACCCATTACTTCATATACACGCCTTTTAACGCCTTTTTCAACCCCCCCCCCTTTTTGTTGTCTCAAATGATGAAAAAATGCCTTATTTAGGCCCCAAACACTTGTTTTTGTTTGAGAAATGTTGTTAAAAAAAGTGACCTCTTTTTCGGCGCGGCCCCCCCAACCAAAAGATACATCAGGGGGTTGCCAGAAGGGGGATGTGCCCCCTTCTGTTTGGGGGGGTTTGAAGGGGGGCGGAGTCCCCCTCATCGCCAAGAAAATTTTGGACTTGTGAGAGGCTGTAAATGACCCCAGATTGATCATAAGGTAACGTGTAACCAACGCTGAAAAACATTTGACTCTATCTCAATCCATTGAGAAGTTGCAGCACTTTGAAATCAATTTTGATGGAAAAAATCAACGCAAAATAGTGATTTTTGGCAATTTTGAGATGTCCCCTCGTTGCCATGGTAACAGAAAATTTAAGCCTGAGCATGTTGTTGCAAGGGCAATGGTCCAGTCAACATTTGTGCCAAGTTTGATAAGTGTTGAAGCAGTTTTTATAGTATTATAGCAATTTGAACTTGTAACGGGAGACTTTTCAATGAAAACAGCCATTTTTCACAAAATGCTCATGAAGTAATGGGTTAATGAAAAAAATAAAAAAATCTACAAAACAACAATTTTTCTTCAAATTTATATGACAGGCCATGTTTAAACATGAAAAAACGCGATTTAGGGTAATTTCAAGTATTTTCATCATTTTCTGTTAACCCATTACTTCATATACACGCCTTTTAACGCCTTTTTCACCCCCCCCTTTTTGTTGTCTCAAATGATGAAAAAATGCCTTATTTAGGCCCCAAACACTTGATTTTGTTTGAGAAATGTTGTTAAAAAAAGTGACCTCTTTTTCGGCGCGGCCCCCCAACCAAAAGATACATCAGGGGGTTGCCAGAAGGGGGATGTGCCCCCTTCTGTTTGGGGGGTTTGAAGGGGGGCGGAGTCCCCCTCATCGCCAAGAAAATTTTGGACTTGTGAGAGGCTGTAAATGACCCCAGATTGATCATAAGGTAACGTGTAACCAACGCTGAAAAGCATTTGACTCTATCTCAATCCATTGAGAAATTGCAGCACTTTGAAATCAATTTTGATGGAAAAAATCAACGCAAAATAGTGATTTTTGGCAATTTTGAGATGTCCCCTCGTTGCCATGGTAACAGAAAATTTAAGCCTGGCATGTTGTTCCAAGGGCAATGGTCCAGTCAACATTTGTGCCAAGTTTGATTAGTGTTGAAGCAGTTTTTTATAGTATTATAGCAATTTGAACTTGTAACGGGAGACTTTTCAATGAAAACAGCCATTTTTCACAAAATGCTCATGAAGTAATGGGTTAAAGATAAAAAAAATCTACAAAACAACAATTTTTCTTCAAATTTATATGACAGGCCATGTTCAAACATGAAAAAACGCGATTTAGGGTAATTTCAAGTATTTTCATCATTTTCTGTTAACCCATTACTTCATATACACGCCTTTTAACGCCTTTTTCAACCCCCCCCTCTTTTTGTTGTCTCAAATGATGAAAAAATGCCTTATTTAGGCCCCAAACACTTGATTTTGTTTGAGAAATGTTGTTAAAAAAGTGACCTCTTTTTCGGCGCGGCCCCCCAACTAAAAGATACATCAGGGGGTTGCCAGAAGGGGGATGTGCCCCCTTCTGTTTGGGGGAGTTTGAAGGGGGGCGGAGTCCCCCTCATCGCCAAGAAAATTTTGGACTTGTGAGAGGCTGTAAATGACCCCAGGTTGATCATAAGGTAACGTGTAACCAACGCTGAAAAGCATTTGACTCTATCTCAATCCATTGAAAAGTTGCAGCACTTTGAAATCAATTTTGATGGAAAAAATCAACGTAAAATAGTGATTTTTGGCAATTTTGAGATGTCCCCTCGTTGCCATGGTAACAGAAAATTTAAGCCTGGGCATGTTGTTCCAAGGGCAATGGTCCAGTCAACATTTGTGCCAAGTTTGATTAGTGTTGAAGCAGTTTTTATAGTATTATAGCAATTTGAACTTGTAACGGGAGACTTTTCAATGAAAACAGCCATTTTTCACAAAATGCTCATGAAGTAATGGGTTAAGATCAGTTATTTTCATAGTAAACGGTCACATACATTCGATTAACCGCTTAATATCAAATAAACTAGGCAAGGCCCTTTGAGTCTATTTTCACACATTCATGATTACCTATTAAAGATCATATTCGTGAAGTTTCGAGATTTAATTACTGAAATGTTGCTTAATTTATGAATTAAAATTTGATATCGTAATTCTTATTCATCTGCAAAGTATAATGAATTTCGGATCAAAATAAATGTTTCCGAATTTTTGAAATGTTTTTGCAATTTCTATATACATACATTAAATGTTTAAATGATTTCAGTTACATGTATTTAAAATCTATAAAGGCGATTCAAGGGAAATTGATATCCTGATATACAGTTGTTAAATAATGAAGTGATATAATTTATTCCCATCTTTACGGTAAAGTAAGAAAAAAACCAAACTTCGACAGAAATACAAATATTTATTATTGCATTATATATGCTTCCTTTTAGAAAGTTAAAAAGGATATAGTCTTTCTTAATTATTTGTACAATGTGCAATGTCGAATCATTCACTTAGGTACAAGATTCTAAATTGTGAGTATAAAATTGCATCATGTATGATATTATGTCATTTTTTATTATTTCAAGACTGTCATAAACCGGAACACGCACCTTCCGAAAACATTCAGTCGATAAATCTGACGCAAAAAAATGAGACGACATATAAAGCAAACGCAACAGTTATTTGCTTGCCTGGATATGTCTACCCCAATGGAAGTAGCCGAAAAACCCAATACAATATAAGTTGCACATCAAAAGGGACTTGGGAAATCAAATACAACTGTGTGAAGATAGGTCTTTAAACTTTTATTTTTCTTCAATGATTTGTTTTAATATTGATATTATCGATTATATTATAAGATAACATTATTATAAAAACTGTAAAATATTATGTCCTATAATCTTGTACACAACTATAAAATATGCACACATAAAGCAGCATCTTTTAACAAGTATTAACGTTTAAAGCCAGTGGAACTGGGTTCATATCATTTCTTTTAAAACTGGCAGACATTATCAGTGGAATGTAGTAAGTCTTCGAAATTTGTTTTATTTTGCTAATTTGCATATCACATGTTCTTGAAATGAAATGGCCTAATCTGGAAATAAGGATATTTATATCTTTCACATTTTTATCATTTACTGCAGCTATTCTTATCAGCTATTCTTATAAGTTTGATTTTTAACTGAAGTAAAATCGTTCTTCTAGTTATTTTATACGATTTCTCAGTTTTAATGTTCTATGCTTATTGCCTTAAATTGCTTATTTCAGGTAGTCACGATGTTTAATATTTTTAGTCGTTGATAGCAGTGGTTTCTCAGTTTTATCACTTAAACTTTTTGTTATAGTGGTTTATGTATTTACGTATATGTTTATTTCTATTCTAATATTGTGTAATTGATTTTGTATCTTTTATAACTACATGCTGGAGTGGCATTGTACATTTATGCTGTGAATTTTTAACGTTGTGTGTATGTCTCTACAATGATGATATATACCGGTAAATAAAGAGCCATCTCTCTACCCCTCTACCACTAGTCGTTACAACATATACGCGTATTTAATGAATAATATAATAAATAAAAGTAATATAATAAAAATTGTTCTTTCTCCTTCGAGTTCGATTTGAATGTAAATACATACTTTAAACTTTATATGTCATTAGTAAGTTTCACTTTTTCTTGCTAATGTTCTCAATCTTTTTAAGTTTCAGTTTTTAATCCGTAATAAATTCCGGATTGATGATGCATTTGTTTCCTTTCGTCTCTTCTTATAGAATTTGTCTACCTGTTTTTAAACGATACATGTAATCGTCTGTGTCATTTTGTCTTTCATTTAACAATTGAATATAACAATGCTGTTGGCTTTACGAGGGTTGTTAAAAAAAGACTGCAGCTCTTCTGCTCACATTTTTAATACACGTTCACAATTTTGCAAGAGCCAATATTCTTTATATACAGTAAAAAAATAATGTATTTTTTTACAAATAACAATTCTGTGAATTTTTCAAATGATAAGGGGTACGAAACCCGGCGCACTCTTATTATACAATGAATAAGCTTCATGACGTCGTAAAATAAATACAAAATGTAAGTGTCAATCTTTCTAAAAGCAGTGTCCCTAGTGCTCTATGTGTTTGAATCATGTAATTATAACCGGGTTTCATATGTGAAAATGAAGCAGGAATAAAGCGATCACAATCTCGTTCAACTCTTTAAAAAAAGTAATTAAAATAAAATGCCCGATTATCCGTTTCTCTTGTATATTTTGAGTAATCTTTAAATTCATTAGGCATTGACTGATAATGTTAATGCAAAGCGTTTATATCATTAATTTACACATCTCATCGCATGTTTAAAAAATATTGAAATAACAATATTCATCAATTGAAAAGTATCTTTTTCTATTAAGCACAGTCCATCATTTATTTAAACCAGATTAGGAAAAATACTAATAATAATTACAGTTAATCGTTATTATAGTAATTTATTGATTTCACGTATATCTAGCTAACTACAATAAAATAGTGTTTAAAACAAATGTATCATTTTCAATACTTTTGGTCAGAACTGAATAAGTTGATCCGAAGCAGACATAAAATTGCCGAAAAGTTCTCGAATCGTTTACCGTCAATTCTTTTGTATCGCTTTTTTCAATTGACGCCATTAAAGTCCCGTCAATTTTCCGCTTTCATTCTCACCTTTTCCTGTAAGACATCCTGTATTCGCCGTTTTTGAATTGCTTACGCCGCGAAAGAATAATTGTTCTGATGGCAGGACAACTGTCCTTTCTTAATGAAATCATATTGTATGTATCTAAAGGAGTATAGCCAATTTGTTGGCAACATTTAACGATTGCACACATTTTCAGTTTGTTAACGATTGTCATATTTCTACATTTAACGCTATTACCAAATCTGTTCAAAACTTAATTATTAAGCCATTTCATGTCCAAATGACGTCAAATTTACATAATGTCACTTTAATATAATTGAATGAGTTGATGGAATATATGGACAGACAAATAATAAATAATGATTAAAGAAGAAGTATTAGCTTCAACAACTTTGTTGATGTGCTGTGCTGGGCGCGTAGTACCATGGCTATTCAATATCACAGGGAAAACGCGTTTAGCAAAATTAATAAAAACATGTAAACTTTTGCTAAAATTGTAGAAAACATGTTACGATCGCTGTAAATATGAAAAAATCTTAAGTTGAATTAGAAATTAAAGGGACTCCACTGAGGTTTTTTGACATGATGGGACTGAAAAATTTTTTCTAGAAAAATGTAACATTTAATTGAGGTTTAAAATACTAATCTATGTGAGAAATTTCAGATCATTCGCGCACTTCGGGTTTCCAGAATAATTATTCAAATTGTAAAACAAATAACCTTAAATTAAAAGCCTGTAAACGCTTTTCATTCAAATAGGGCTTAGAAAAGCATAAACATACGATTTTAAATTTATTTTAAAGTATGTTTCTTAACTATCTTTGCATTTATTTCTGTTTATAAGTGCCCAAGCTCATTGGTGTAAGGAATTGAAATGTTATGTTTTTAGAATTTTAAACCTCAGTTGAGTCCCTTTAATAGGCAAGACTCTCTTGCAAGACTCTATTATTTTTTAACAACCCTCGTTTATCGCCTTGAAATTCAATTATTCCGGAAAATATATGAATAAGTATATACCAGTGGCGATATCATATATGCAAGGATTTAAAAATATAGCAAATTCTTTGAAATTTGCTTAAATACAAACAAATCTCGATGAAATAACACTAGATCCGTAGATTTGACGCGACGTTTAAACCAAATGTTACAATTCATTTGCAAAACTGCCTACATCTACCAAAATTGGGATAACAGCCGGCAGACCAAATTATGAAACTTGTTTAAAACGAGAGGGATTCGATCGAGATATGTCTGACAATAGATATAAGAAATCAGTTTGTTTTAAAAAAGCGTTTGCCCTTTCTATTCAATAAGAAGCCTATGCATCTATTTCAATAAACCCTGCATACATACATTATGTCAGTTACACGGTATTCAGTATCATGTATATTTACCTGTATCACAATAAAATTCACAATGCTTTTGATTAATTTCCTTTCAAAAACTGATGAATTATCAGTGCCTCTTCACTAAAAGGAGATATATTTTATTCCGTATTGATTTTCTTGCTATTTATATTATGGTTTTACTTGTCTCTTTGCATGTCGTATCAATGTTATGCTGAAGCATCTTGTTTGATTTTTTCTGAATTATTCATTTAGTTTTACAATCAGAGGACTTTGCTAAACTCAGCGTTCTGAGTAAAGTTAAAACAAATCATCGATCTTTTCAAGCAGGCAGCTTAGACGTTTTATTTTCACACTAAGACAGAACTCTATACAGAAAATTTCCTTAACATTCATTCTATTTTAACCAAAACAAAGAGTCACAAACCAATGGCACGCCTAAGGCTTTAGCAAGCATGTAAAAACCATCTACCTATATAGTTTTTATAATTTTAATATTTATATTAATTGTTATTGACATGTAAAAAATCGGTATATTTTGGGCTCAATACAGAATTTGTTCCTACTAGACTATTTCAGATACCTACCGGGATTTTAAAACAGAGGTGATATTGAAATGTGTATTAATCCATTATGAATAAGCGCATGGACAATTGCCTATGTACATGAAAAGATGCCAAAAAAGTAGCCAAATGTCATATCAAAGTAGTATTGAAATACAAATAACGAAAAAAAGTGAAACTTGAATTGAAAGTAAATTCGCCTTTAAAGGTATTATTCTGAACTGAAATAAGACACATTTAGTCGATGGAATGGGCGAAAACCATTTATAACTTGCCTGTCGATGCTCTCTTTTACAGACGCATCGGAATATATATCTGTACCTTAACCGATTACTTCATGAGCATTTGTGAAAAATGGCTATTTTCATTGAAAAGTCTCGCGTTACCAGTTCAAATTGCTATAAAACTATAAAAACTGCTTCAATACTAATCAAACTTGGCACAAATGTTGACTGGACCATTACCCTTGTAACAACATGCTCAGACTTAAATTTCCTGCTACCTTGGCAACAAGCGGACATCTCAAAATTGTCAAAAATCACTGCTTTGCGTTGATTTTTTCCATCAAAATTGATTTCAAAGTGCTGCTATTTCTCAATGGATTGAGATAGACTCAAATGCTTTTCAGCGTTGGTTACATGTTACCTTATGATCGATCTGGGGTCATTTTTAGCCTCTCACAAATCCAAAAACCTCTTGGCGATGAGGGGGACTCCCGCCCCCTGATGGCAATCCCCCTGATGGCAGGCGCCGAAAAAAGTGGTCACTTTCTTTATCAACATTTCTCAAACGAAAATATGTGTTTGGGGCCCTAAAAGGATTTTTTTTCACTATTTGAGGCCTAAAAGAGGGGGGTGGGTCGAAAGTGAGTTGTTTCGCGTATATATGAGGTAAAGGGTTAAAGCTGCATGCCTGGAGAGTTGCCAAAATATTTTAATAAAAATACATAGATTATACTGCGTGACAAAGTGCTCTTTTTGCATATTTTAATCTATGCGTTGTAAATTTAAAGTGTCGTTTGCAATATATAAAGTACTCTTTTGTTCACTTGCCAATGTTTTTCTTTTTAAGTTCTTTTAAAGATTTCTATGAATATCAACATTTATCTATCTATCTATCTATCTATCTATCTATCTATCTATCTATCTATCTATCAATCTATCTATCTATCTATCTATCTATCTATCTATCTATCTATCTATCTATCTATCTATCTAT